AGCCCCGCCCCCTGGTGGGCTGAGCTGGCCACACACACACACACACACACACACACACACACACACACAAATAAATAAAAAAAAAGGGGGGGGGCGAGCACCTGTGATCCCAGCACTCTGGGAGGCTAAGGCAGAAAGATTACAAGTTGAAGTCCTCCCTTTGCAATTTAGCAACTTTATGAGACCCTGTCTCGTAAAAATAAGGGTTCAGAAGACAGCTCGGTGTGAAGACTTGGCTTAACTCCCTACATCACAGAATAAGAAGACCTGTCTGTCTGGGTGTGCCTCCTGGGAATCTCTGGCCGTGAGCAGATGCTGTGACCATGGCTTCCTCTTCAGGGGCTCTGGCAAAGCACTTCTGGGCATGGTGGCACATACCTATAATCCCAAGACTTGGGAGGCTGAGGCAGGAGCATCCCTGTGAGTTGGAAACCAGCCTGAGCTACGTAGAGAATTCCCGACCAGCCTGGACTACACAAGACTCTTTAAAAAAAAAAAAAAAAAAATGTTGGGGAGATGGCTCAGTAGAATAATCACTTGCCTGGCAAGCGCAAGGGTCTGAGTTCAATCCCCGGTTCCGCCAAAACAAAAAACAACCCAGCACCCAGAACGATCTCAGTATACACTATGAAACCCACAGATCCTGACCCTGAAGGTTGGGGGTGGGCCCAAATTCCACATTTCCCACAAACTCAGAGCGCGGCCAGCTGACACCAGGCCTGCCGCTGTTACTGGCTTTGCCTGTACAGAATGGGCAGCAGACTACAGTTTTGGAGCTGACACAAACCCAAGTTCAAACTGCAACACAACTCCCTAGTCCCACTGTTGCCTGGAGCAAGTTTGCTATGGGGCTGGGTCCGTGCGTGGTGGCGCACACCTATGATCCCAGTGCTGGGAGGCTGAAAACAGGAGGATTGCTGAGTCCAAGCTGCGTAGTGAGACCCCATACCAAATACATAAATGGAAAGAAGAGAAGAAAAGAAAAGAAAAGAAACTTACCTTTGAAACTGCCCGCCATTCTGATAGCAAGATGAACCTCGCGCTGCCGGGTGCCGCAGTGCAGGCCTCAAGCCGTCCCTTGTCTGGTGGGTCCAGGCTGCCTGGTGAGCGAAGAAAGGTAGGTAGGTGTGAGGTGCAGGGAAAACGCAGTTACGGAAGATCGTGGAACACGTGCTCAGCCAGGCCTGTGCCAGCGGAAACAAGCGCGGCATGAACAGAAAGTGGTGCTGATGACAGAAAAAGCCAAAGGCCACTGGACCAATTCTTTTTCGTACTGGGAACTGAACTCAGGACTTTGCACTTGCCAGCAGGTGCTGTGCCACTGAGCTGTCAGCTTTGTCACCTGCCCAAAAGGCTGGGGACATAAACTCAGTGATACAACACTTTTCTGGGTTTGTTTTTTGGGGGTGGTCTTTTTGATACAGGGCCTTGCTGTGCAGCTCAGGCAGGCTGACCTTAAACTCGCTTTGCAGCCTAGACTAGTCTCAAACTCACAATGATCCTCCTGCCTCTGCCTCCCGAGTGCTGGGAGTACAGGGGTGTGCCACCATGCCAAGCGTGGCAGACTCTGTGTTTCTTTCTTTCTTCTTTCTTTCTTTCTTTCTCTTTCTTTCTTTCTTTCTTTCTTTCTTTCTTTCTTTCTTTCTTTCTTTCTTTCTTTCTTTCTTTCTTTCTTTCCTTTTTTTCTCTTTGTGTTTCTAGTGATACTAGGGATTGAGTGCCCAGAGCCTTCACACCAGCTACATTCCCAGCCCTTTCTATTCAGTTAAATTTTGTGACAAAGTCTTGTAAAGTCCATAGTTTGCCCAGGTGGCACTCTAACCTGTGATCTTCCTGTCTCAGCCACCCAGAGCTCACTTTGAACTCACTGCCCCTGGAGGAGGTGACTTCTTTTTTCTTCTGTATTTTAGGGAAGGGTCTACAGGGTTTTCAGGATCTCACTACGAGATCAGACTCAGTAGTGATCCGCCTGCTTACAGCCTCTCAAGAGCTAGGATTACAGGCACGCCACCACGC